AAAAAAAAAAAAACGAAGGCCCCCCCCCCCCCCCCCCCGGGGAAAATTTCTGAAATAATCACTGAAAGGGCCATTATGGGCGGATCGCACCCCCCCCCCCTATTTTTTTCCCACAACACTGACTTATATTATACGAACGCAAGCGCACCTGTTGGACCAGAACTTGGTTTTTGGTATTAGGTATTTTTCATTGAAATGGTACCTTTAATTTACGATTGTCATTGTCTATTAGGCATTAAGTTTACGATTCACATAAAAGTATTAGCCAACTTTTAATTCATTATGTCAGAATTTTTAGTTGAGCACTTTGCCTTAAACTCTGAAGCAAAATATGTGCTAATAAATGTTTTTGTTTTAAAAAAAAAAATAATGGAATAAGACTCAGAATAATCAATCACCTAGAAACTGTATGTTATTATTATAATTATATTAATTTGGTCATGTAACAAAAGCCGAAATAAAATTTGAAAAAGAGATGAGAGTTGCCTTTCCCCTGGAAATCCCGATATTATTTATGTTGTTGCCATTTCATTTGTTTGGGAAAGAAATTCGACAGTTTTTGTTTCGATTTCATATTCTTGGAATTATAACAAAACCCAATGAAGTTTGAGAAAGTCCAAGAATAAATCTGATAGCATTCACCTTTTTACTAGCATGGAAATTCCAAGTAAGTGCACTTCACTGAGACTCACTGCACTGTGTTGTGACGTGTGTAGTTTAGTGTAGTGTAGTATTAGTAGGCTATAATGCACTGTTCAGACAGAGTGTTCATAGTGTTAGCTCCCAAAAAGTAGTCAAAGTTACTCAATCTGTGTGTGTGCTGTACTGAAAAATTATAAATCCTGACTTTTATTAAATCTTACATAGTGATACTGATAATGATAAATGACATGTAATTACTGCTGTATTATAATGAATCTTGAGTGTGTACTGGCACTGGTTAATTTTAATGTAGTCTTAATTTAGTACTCTTACTTTATACTTTTTGTCTTAGTCTTAGTAAGTTAGTTAGTAACCCACACTGTTTTACTAAAAATTATTTTTGTTGGTGATAGATTCTAAAATAATGTATTGTGTACTACTAAGTAAGTGTAAGCGAAGAGGCTATTCGGACCCGGTTATCAGAAGTGAAAGGTTGTCTAAGGGGTCGCCAAAGACCATCGGAAAACACATTTATGAAGTAGCAACAAAAATAATTTTATGGTTGGGGGGTCACAACACGAGGAACTGTATTAAAGGGTGGTGGCATTAGGAAGGTTGAGAGGCAATCCTCCGAAGTCCGGTCCCAAATTATTTATTATGAAAAAAATTGCAATGCACAGTATCTATTGTTAGAAAACAGCAGAAATGTCAGTCATAGCGTTTGCAAATAACTGTGACTTTACAAACCAGTCAGTAAATACTAAATGTTGTCATTGGCGCATAGCATTTACAAATAGCAGCTGAAAACGTTCTGCTTGTGACTGTTACGCCACTGAAGGCTCCAAGTAGCTGGCAAACAGACCGCGACTAGTACCACTCTGATAGCGGAGTTTACGTTTCGCTTGCATCCAAAGTCCTTCAATAATTTATGTCACATTATGTGTGAATGTCCTGGTCTACTGGATCAACAAATTCACGCGCGTGCACAATGACAGCATGAGCATAAATCCCGTTGTTGAGCTGGCCAACATTTTGATATCCTCGCCAAGCGTCCGTGATGATAGTTGTCCCTGGTAACACATGTTTAGTGATAATGCGCTCGAGTGTTTGTGCATCTCAACGGCCGACAGCCTCCATCCAACATCGTCCACTAACGCAAACATGAATTTCAAAACAGAATGATACCCAAGACTTATAAGTAAGGAGTAATCACTGGAAATAATTTGGGACCGGACTTCGGAGGATTGCCGGTTGAGAACCATTTAGATTAAATGCTATTCGGATGTCATTTTTATGCTATTCGGATGTCATTTGTGGTAGTTTATTTTAGTTAAACTGGAGAAGTAAGTTTACAAACATATATATGGTACATTCAATTATCTTTCATTTGATAACAAAATTTGTTCTACAAACCCTACAATGATATTTTAAATAATTTTTTTAACGCAACTCTCACTTCTGATACCTGGGTCCAAATAGCTGCAGCCAAGTGTAAGTTTAGCTGTCTGAGTCTGCTGAGTATGATCATTCAACTCGATGAGTCATTCTCCAACTTGGTGGAGTTCTTTACTATAAACTATAAGTACCCGGTAGAAGTCTATGTAAACTATATTTTATTCTAATTCTAGTCTAATTCAGTAGGGGCAGTGACTACAATAAATTAAATACAATTCACTTCAAAAAATTACTATAAGGATTGATAACTCTTTGGCTAGTTCAAAATGAACCTCATTAACTTAGACTTATTTACACTTAGTATGCAGACTAGACTTTCCAAATGTAGAGTTTTATTTTGAATTGTCTGAAAGTATGAGCGAGTGACCTAAATAATCAGTATCTTTAAAAATTGTATGTACTTACTAATGCATTTTACCCCACCTGGGGCATAGACCAACTACAAGAATTTTCCATTCAATTTGGTCCTGTGCTTTCCTTTCCAGTTGCATCCATGTGTATCTCAAACTTTGTGTGTCTGCCTCTAGCTTGCATCTCCATGTATTCTTAGGTCTTTTTCCCTGTAGATTCCATGTTACCCATTTTCTAGTGATTTTATCTGTTGGTTTACGAAGATTGTGCTCTGTCTTCAGCAATAGGCTCTTGGTATGTCCTTTCCAGTAAGTCTTGGTTGGTGATTTTAGGCCATTTGATGTTCAGGATCTTTCTAAGGCAAGTGTTTATGAAGGTACTTTCTGCATGATCATCGCTGTTGTTCTTAAAGCTTTGGCTCCATAGAGTAAGACTGTTATGACATTTGTGTTGAAATTTATGACTTTGGTTTGCAGATTCAGCTCCTTTGATTCCCATATTTTCTGTAATAGCACAAATGCCTACCTAGCCTTTCCAATTCTAGCCCTGACATCAGCTTCAGATCCACCATTCATGTCAATGGTGCTGCCTAAGTATGTTAAGGCCTCCACTTCTTCCAGTGTATTTCCTGCCAGAGAGCTAGGCTCTTGGTTGCTGAGTTTATCTTAGTGATCTTTTGTCTTTTTCTGCATTTTTTGCTGGTTGTGGGACAGAAGTGCAATGTCTGCAAAGTCTCATTCAGTTGTTCCTAGGGTGTTCTCCATATCCCTTTTCTCTTTTTATTTGTTGTCAATGGCAAGGAGGACTGGAAAGGGGGACAAGAGACATCCTTGTTTGACTCCTGTTTCCACTTTAAAGTTGAGTCTACCTTCATGTACCACGCTTCATGTCATTTCTTTAAAAGAACTCTGAAAGATCCTGACTGGTTTTCCTGGTACCCCATAATGCTGGAGAAGTTTCCACAAGGTTTGTCGGGAGTTCCATTTGATGGACTGTTCTTCAATGAAGCGCATTGTTGAAATTTGGTCTGTGCTTGATCTGTTTCAGCAGAGGCCAGCCCGGTCGCTTCTTCTGCTGTTGACACTAGACCATTTATATATGCTGTTTTATTCTTTTAAATACTGTTGTTTACCCTTCCATTGGTTTTTACATATCTTCTGTGCCTTTGTCTTATCTGCTCTAGTGTTGCAGTTGTTTACTTCACACTTCATTTCTATCCTTTTTATTTTTTGCAACATGTTGAGTGAGAGCAAATCTTTGTATTTTCGCTTCACTGGTCCTAATACCTCATTGCACATGGATGTTACATACATTTTTATCTTCTGCCATTGAAATTCTATCTGGTTATCATCTGTTTGGTCTTGCAGTACCTGTAACTTATTTCTTCAGGTAGCACTGAATTTCTGTCATTTTTGCTCATTTGCCAGAAGTCCTATGTTGTATTTTAGCTGTCTAGCAACTGGCTCTTCCCAGTTTTTCCTCAGTTTTAGCTGGAGTCTTGCCCAAACTAGATGGTGATCAGATGCAACATCAGCTCCTCTTTTAGCTCATACATCTTGCAGAAACCATTTGAATTTTTTTACAAATGCATATATAATCAATTTGGTTTTCTGTTCTATTATCAGGGAACATCCAAGTTACCTTGTTGGTATTCTTGTGTCTTATGCTGGAATTTGCTGCTCCCAATAACAAGCTCATTTGCTGTGCAGAAGTCTGTCAGTCTTTTGATGTTTTCATTTCTCTCACCGATACCATAGCTATATACTCTGACTTTGACCCCAAGGCTCATAACTCTTCTTGGGGAAGAAGAGCCCTCTCTTATCAGGGTTGAAATTGTTTTGTTTTTTTCTTCTTGTTGCCACTTCTGTAGCATTTTGTTTTTTTGCGGAGAGGTAGCTGGCCTGACACTAACCTTCATCCTTTTGCACCCGGGTTTGGGTCCGGCCATGGCAGAGTTATAGATTTTATGTACTGTCTTTCAATAAGTTATATTCACACTCAATCACACTCCTCATCAGTATTCACACTCAATCACACTCCTCATCAGTATTCACACCCAATCACACTCTTCATCAGTATTCACACCCAATCACACTCCTCATCAGGATTCACACCCAATCACACTCCTCATCAGTATTCACACTCAATCACACTCCTCATCAGTATTCACACCCAATCACACTCCTCATCAGGATTCACACCCAATCACACTCCTCATCAGTATTCACACCCAATCACACTCCTCATCAGTATTCACACCCAATCACACTCCTCATCAGTATTCACACCCAATCACACTCCTCATCAGTATTCACAATCACACTCCTCATCAGTATTCACACCCAATCACACTCCTCATCAGTATTCACAATCACACTCCTCATCAGTATTCACACCCAATCACATTCCTCATCAGTATTCACACTCAATCACACTCCTCATAAGTTGATGAATGACAGTACTCAACACAGTGTATGTAACTCATATAATTTAAGCGAAAAAATATATAAAAATTCTTTTAAATTTATTTTAAGTTTATTAAGAAACATCAAGTACAATTTGTGCACTATATAGAACGGTGAAACTGAGTTTATTACTTCCCTTGTCTCCAAGAGTTATCATAATTTACTGAGTACTTATGCAACTAAATTTTAAAACCAATTATACTACAATATTATTGTTAATTTTTGTTGATTTTAAAAATATATATGATTGGTACCTGGCAGGCAGCTTTGTTATAGCTGAAATTCCAAATTAACTACAATTAAAAAAATAACATTCAGCTTATATTGAACTTTTTAAAGACCTGTGTCAAGATTTTCTAGAGTAAGCAAGCTCACTTTTACTTTTACATGCACAAAAAATCATGACATTTGTTTACGGCAAAGCTCTTTGTCAACAAAATATTTTTAAATCAAAACAAATTCTCCAGATATGAAATTGTAAATAATTTTTCCCACAGAATAAATCAATCACCGAAAAGTCATTGAACTCATTGCCTCTTCTTAACTAATTATGAGAGTGTTGGACTGTGATAAAGCTTTAAAGTAGATTAGTGAGACACAACAATTTGTGTAATCAAAACAAATATAGGTTCAGCTTTAATAATGATTATACAGAATGCGGCAAATATGCTGATATTAGTTACAAACACTGCAGCAAACTTCGCTTGCAACTCTCTGCTGATCAGCCATTCATGCTTTCAGTTTATAGCCAAAACTAGTGATGCTCTATACAAGATGGTTTTCTGCTTTCTCTGCAACAAAGATTAACATGGGCAAAAAAAACTCTACTTCATCAGTTGGATGGACAATCCAGCAGGGGTTCAAATTAGCTGTTGAAGATTTAATACTTTAACTTGGTTAACATTAGTACTTTTAGTTGAGATTTAAATATTTAAACATCATCAGTAAATAAAGACTTGTGCTTTTTATTTACTTTTCAAATGTTTTAGGTAACTTATCACTATTAGTATTAATTAGTGTTTGAAAGATTAAATTATTTAACAAAAATGGAGTGAACAAAATATGTCGATAGGAATTTTATAATGCTGGACTGGAAAATTACTCATTATAACTTGAAAGCTGAAGAGGTCAAATTTTGAATTCATTATGGAGCATCATGAGTAAGTTGGATTTATCTGCAGTTGAGTCCAAACTATTTTTGAAAAGTAAAAAATAAAATGTTTCTTAATATTTTAACTAAAATCTATTAAAAAACTTGATGAATAGATGTTGTAAATAATATAATGGCAAAGATAACCCAGATATTTTTGTTTATGTTCTTACAAAAAAATAACATTTTGTAAATTTTAAAAATGTATTTTTATTTGTTTAAGTATCATTGATATTTCAAAATCATTTGCATTTTAAAGTTATTTTTTACTCTTATTTTAACTTTACTCTTTGTGCTACAGTTCAAATTTCCCATCGAGTGAACCACCATCTAATATAGATAAAAACAAGAGTGAAAACCACAAGGCAAAGGCACAGAGAAGTGATTCACTAACTTCAAAATCAGCATCACAACGTAACACCTCTAACAATCGATGTGTCTTACCAAGTCTTCAGAGGCAAGACAATTTGAACGATGCCCCCCTACAAAAAGCTAATCAGAACATAACCAGTGATAATAATCTAGATGTTCATAACCTGGAGATAGGGATCCAAGGGTTGAAATTAAGCAATGGAAAGGATATCAATCTGACCCCCGTGACAAGTCTCAGTGGTGCCAAAGAAGAGTCTGTTAATAAGCTTAGTCGTTCAAACTCTAGCGGCATGGCGAAATGTACATATGCTCCAGCACCAATGGCATCTCGTGAACAATGTTTCATGGCTGGCGATAAAGGCTTTTGCCATCTTTGCAATGTTGCGCTCACATCAAGGCAACATTACATGCAGCATACTGGAGGAAAAAGTCATCAGAAGAAAGTAATGGAAGCTGAATGTAAAGCAGTTTTCAATGACCCAAACATCAACAATCCTTCTCACCCACTACAAAATATCAATTCATATCAAAATGATCTGAGATCATCATCTCATAGCATGGGGCCCAACGGTGAGGAGTATGTCTTGAATCAGGCCGGTGGCCGATGTTTTATTTGTGGCGTTGACTTTACGTCACCGTCACATGCCACGCAGCACCTGTCTGGCCAAAAACACAAGAAAAAATCAGCAAGTCAAACACTTCAGGGAGCTCTGGGCTTAAATCAGTCGTCGTCACTTGGTCATTCTCAGTTTCCCGCAGTACTTCAGCAGTCGTCACCGTTCCCAAACCAGAATAACTCACAGTTGGTCATGACAGATTCATCAGCGGCCCTGCCCCCTTTCACGCCCCCACAGGGTCCCAATGGGGAAGACTTTGTAATGAGAGGCACTAGAGGACATTGCTATGTATGTGACATAGAACTAACATCTCGTGAACATGCTCAATCTCATTTGAATGGATCCAAGCATGCGAAAAAATGTGGCGTGAACTCCGTGGCCTCTGCAGACAGCATGTTTCCACCCCCCGGGAAGGTCCTCATGTGCGCCTTATGTCAGGTGCCGTTCTCATGCATGAGAAATGCAGAAGAACATTTTCAGAGTGAAAAGCACAAGAAAAAAGTTATGACCATCAGGCCGATATCCTTTTCAGAGCCTGATTATTCTAATGACCCAGAGCAGACTGAAGTGATGAGACTATATTCATCAACCTCCGTCAGAAGCTCTGGCGTAACAACATCTACTCCACTGAAATTGTCCAGCTGTGTGGGAGATGTTAATAATGAAAAGATTCGAAACATCTGTATGGAGAACCCTCGGTCCCAGCATTCGTCAGGTTTAAAATCAGATTCTTCATTATGCCCAAGTGAATCTGATTGTAGTGGAGTGATGAACCCAATTCGGTATTGTGAAATCATTGACACTGCTAATAATGCATCAGTGACTGGTCGCGTTAACATATCTAATCAAATAATTGAAGGACCCTGCATTTCAACTAATTTAGGTGCAATTGACACGGCTAATAATGCATCAGTGACTGGTCGTGCTAACATATCTAATCAAACAATTGAAGGACCCTGCATTCCAACTACCAGTAATTTAGGTGCAACAAAATGCATTGCTGAAAGTTTCAGTTCAAATTTGAATGAGGCTGGAAAATCACCTATCAAAATTGTTGAAATGAAAATTCCATTGGAGAGTTTAACAGACAACACCATGCAGCCACCCAATAGCAATTACACAAGCAATGTTGTCAGTACCATGAAGCCATCCAATAACTACACGGGCAATGTTGTCAGTACCATGAAGCCATCCAATAACTACATGGGCAATGTTGTCAGTACCATGAAGCCATCCAATAACTACACAGGGAATGTTGTCAGTACCATGAAGCCATCCAATAACTACACAGGCAATGTTGTCAATACCATGACGCCATCCAATAATACCTCCGCAGGCAACGTTGACAATACAATGCAGCTTGCAGGAAGTGAGGCAGTCTCACTAAATAAAAGTCTTGACAGCAGGAGCTCGGTTGTTTTGGATGAGCAAAGAAAACTACTTCTAGAAAGTGCTGAGGCTGCTGGGAATACTTCCTGTCAGTTAGAGCAGCTTCAGACGAAGTTGAAGCAAACTACTTTGAACGGCCCCGCTACTGGAATTGTAAGAAGTACACCAAATCAAAATGTATTGCAACCAGCTTTTGGGATTAATCACAGCGCCCAAACACTCCTACAGGAAAAATTACCAAGCCTAAAAGAAGAAAACGCTCAGAATCCAGTGGGATTTTCACATGGTGCTTCACATCAGATCGGTGCAGCATATGAAGAAGAATCGAGAACTTCTAGGAGGGGTGAGCAGTCTCTACACAGGGAACTGATTGAGCCTAACTTTTTAATTAAGCAGCAAAACAGATCAAGTGATGGTAAATTTACCGTCAGTCATGACAATGGTGCCCAGCAGCCTGCAAATGTGTCAGCTGATGTAGACATGACTCCCAGCAAGCAAGGGACGTTAAAGGAGGAGCTGCGAGTAAGATCAGAGCATGAAGAATATACACCCCATTCATCTAGACAGTCTGGGCAGAACTTTGCACCACGGGTTTTATATTTCATCCCTACAAGAGACCAGCAGCCGATGTCTGAGTGCGAGAGAGACGTGGAATCACAGACAATAGCAAATGAGGCAACAGCAAGTGAGTATGAGAATCGAAACAATTCAATGTCTGGGACTCAAGTGAAAGATGCGAAATTTAACGAGGTCAATCAAGATCATGCGATCCCAGCCAACAGTCGAAAAGTCTCCTATGAAAAAGATCAGAAAATAAATAACATTTCTGAAGCTGGTCAAGTTTATTCTCCAAGTACTGGTCAAGTTTATTCTTCAAAGGATTTTGGTGTTACTCTGAAACAAGAAGACATGTTGCAGCAGCCAAGCCAACGGGAAAACTTTTCCGAAACCATGAAAGCTGTTGGAAACTTTTCTAATCAGCAACTAATTAAGACAAAGGCACCAGGTGCTGGTCAAGTGGCTTATTCAGGTGCTGGTCAAGTGGCTTATTCAGGTGCTGGTCAAGTGGCTTATTCAAGTGCTGGTCAACTTTCTGCTCCGGCTGCTGGTCAAGTTTCTTATTCAAGTGCTGGTCAACTTACTTCTCTGGCTGCTGGTCAACTTTCCTATTCAAGTGCTGGTCAACTTTCTGCTCCGGCTGCTGGTCAAGTTTCTTATTCAAGTGCTGGTCAACTTACTTCTCCGGCTGCTGGTCAACTTTCTTATTCAAGTGCTGGTCAACTTTCTTCTCTGGCTGCTGGTCAAGTTTCTTCTCTGGGTGCTGGTCAAGTATCTTCCCTGGGTGCTGGTCAATTTTCTTTTCTCAATGCTAGTCAGTTTTCTACTCCGAGTGCTGGTCAATTATGTTCTCTGAGTGATAGTCAGTATTCTTCTTCGAGTGCTGCTCAATTTTCTACTCTGAGTGATGGTCAGGTTTCTTCTCAAAAGGATTTTGGTGTTACCCTGAGATCAGCTGACATGTTGCAGCAGCCTAGCCATGGAGAAAACCTTTCAGAAGTCTTGGCCAGAAGTCTTGGCCAGGTTGAGCCAGACACCCCAGGTCAGCCATATGTATTCAATGGATTGCGTGGGTTCTGCTATGCATGTAACTTAGACCTGACCTCCCTTCAACATGCCAACCAGCATTTAAATGGACAGAAACACCAGAAAAAAACTGCCCAGTTTCATTACACGCAAGCATTACAAAAGGGAGTCACCTCGCCACTTCCCCCACCATTAACTCCTGTGGCTTCAATTCAAACAACCAGCCCCTACCTCGTGCAAGCCCAGACAGCACCCAGTGACAAGCCGTACACATTCAATGGCTCCAAGGGATACTGTTATGTGTGCAACATTGAGCTTTCCTCCTACCCACATGCAAATCAACATCTCAATGGAAAGTCTCACAAGCGTAATTCTGAGAGATCCAACATGGCCAGGCAAGGGATCGAGTACCCCAATTACTGTAGCGTCTGCAAGAAAAAGTTCACCGGCACGGAGAGCGCAGCTCAACACTTCACCTCGGTCAAGCACAAAACCAAGGCCTGCCTCATTGGCGAGGACGTTATGACTGTGAAACACTTGGATGAAGGGAGAGTTATTTTAAAAGATGGTCAGGTCTGGTATTTTTGCGATGTCTGCCAATGTCCAGTTAATACAGAGGAGCAGTTTCTCATTCACAAAGAAACATCCAAGCACAAAAAGGAGTCGGAAGCAAAACGTGCTAGTCAGTCAGAGTCCCCGGAACAAGACACAGTTTCAAACACAGAGTCGGTTGCTTATGGGCTTCACTACTTGTTAGATGGCCAGCCTCAGAATGTGCAGAGGTGTGTCAGCCCAGGTGCTGCAGTGCCCCAATGTGTCATAGATGAGAACCGCCATCACCTGACGTATGGGGAATCCCCTGTTGTCAGCACAAATGAACATCTTCAACCAAGACTTGGCAGTATGTTGTTTTTTTTCTTTAACTTTTTTATCTGAGTAGCCAGGTTGGCTTTTTCTTGGTTCATACTTCTATGAAATGGAGTGGGGATCATAATTATAAACATTTAATTCTATTAGATCATTTCACTTTATTAAAATTAATTGGACGTAGAAAACTGCAACAGTGTCAAAGCAATGGTGATAGCACTCACTTTTGTCAAGGCAATGGTGATAGCACTAACTTTAGTCAAGGCAATGGCGATAGCACTTACTTATGTCAAGGCAATGGTGATAGCACTCACTTTTGTCAAGGCAATGGTGATAGCACTCACTTTTGTCAAGCCAATGGTGATAGCACTCACTTTTGTCAAGGCAATGGTGATAGCACTAACTTTAGTCAAGGCAATGGTGATAGCACTCACTTTTGTCAAGGCAATGGTGATAGCACTCACTTTTGTCAAGGCAATGGTGATAGCACTCACTTTTGTCACGGCAATGGTGATAGCACTCACTTTTGTCAAGACAATGGTGATGGCACTCACTTTTGACAAGGCAATGGTGATAGCACTCACTTTTGTCAAGGCAATGGTGATAGCACTCACTTTTTTCAAGGCAATGGTGATGGCACTCACTTTTGTCAAGGCAATGGTGATGGCACTCACTTTTGTCAAGGCAATGGTGATGGCACTCACTTTTTTCAAGGCAATGGTGATGGCACTCACTTTTGTCAAGGCAATGGTGATAGCACTCACTTTTGTCAAGGCAATGGTGATGGCACTCACTTTTGTCAAGGCAATGGTGATGGCACTCACTTTTGTCAAGGCAATGGTGATAGCACTCACTTTTGTCAAGGCAATGGTGATGGCACTCACTTTTGTCAAGGCAATGGTGATAGCACTCACTTTTGTCAAGGCAATGGTGATAGCACTCACTTTTGTCAAGGCAATGGTGATAGCACTCACTTTTTTCAAGGCAATGGTGATAGCACTCACTTTTTTCAAGGCAATGGTGATGGCACTCACTTTTGTCAAGGCAATGGTGATGGCACTCACTTTTGTCAAGGCAATGGTGATGGCACTCACTTTTTTCAAGGCAATGGTGATGGCACTCACTTTTGTCAAGGCAATGGTGATAGCACTCACTTTTGTCAAGGCAATGGTGATGGCACTCACTTTTGTCAAGGCATTGGTGATGGCACTCACTTTTGTCAAGGCAATGGTGATAGCACTCACTTTTGTCAAGGCAATGGTGATAGCACTCACTTTTTTTAACCAAATAAAATTGTCTTATTAAATTGTTTTTAAAAAATGAAATATTCAGCATATTTAGAAAATAAAATATGACTTTTCTCTTGATCACCGACTAAATATAGAATATTTTGGTCATATTTATTGTATTTTTATTACTAAATGTAAGTTGGTTTTATTTCCTTCAAAAGTTGCGTGCTTGAAAATTATTTGACTAATGAGTTACTTTTGATACAAAACAGTGACAATGTTGTATTAAATTTATCTTACTGATAAACGGTGTTATAACTGTGTTATTTTTTATGCAGCTCCTCCAAGAGAAGATGTCATCACCAATGTAGCGTTTACTGCAAAAGGTCGACCAATTTTAGGAGGTGGAGCAGCATCAGCTTTTGCGCGTCCCCAAATTGAGGTCAGCCACAACCCAGTGGAACGCTATGCAGCCCATGTGAGCCCAACAGTTTTCTCGCAACAGCCTGGCCCAACAGCTTTCTCGCAACAGCCAGGCCAAGGTTCCTCAACAGATTATTCACACTTTGGAAATTCTACTGGCTTCAGTCTGCATCATTTTGGTGCTGTCGGCGAGAGGAGTGGGTCAAGTAATGTTGGTGGCGGCTCAGGAAGTACCGGCAGCTCAGGAAAGACCAGCAGCTCAGGAAGTACCGGCAGTCTGGGAAATCATCATGGGCAGACGAGGGGAGAACCCTCAAGTGGTAATGGGTTGGCGACAAGATCTAGTGATGAGCAAGGAGCTGCTGGATGGACATCTGGGAGAGAAGATGATGATTTTAATGATGGCGGGTCAGTTGCGTTCGGGAATGATGGTGGAAACACACCAAGGCTGAGTGAAGAAGGATTTATGAAAATGCCCGGAAAAACTCAGCGCAGCATCAGTCGAGGACGAGACAAGGGTCCAAGGGACATAATTTCATTGGATAAATGTGAAGAAGATTATGAAAATGACGAAGATTCTTATGCCCAGGAAGAGCTGCGTAAGAATTTGAATATTCAGGATGAAATTGAAAAATCGCCTCAGCCGAGCCCTGCTCCTGAAAGTCCTGCTCCAGAAAGGAGCACCAAACAGGGTTTTCGGTATTACTGCAGGACCTGCGACAAACACATGAACACACTGGAAAACTATAATGCACACATCAAGGGCAACAACCACTTGTATATGTCATCTTTCAGGTCGGCCCCAACTCGCAATCTTGATCCGATTATGAAAACATTTAATGAACTGCCCCCTTGTCACAACCTTTTCAATATCTGCAACGACTATGCTAGATGTTACCAGGTAGAACTTGTTATAAAAGCAATGGCTGGAGATAAGATTATCTATCTGCCCACTGGTGAGTGAACATTTGTAAATGTGTTGTAATTTTGTTGATGGACATATCTGCACACAAGTACGCAACAGTTTTAATTTTACCTAAGATGGTAGTTGGTATTAAAATTGTTTTTAGTATTTGTTTAAAAAGCACTAGAGTATTCTCATTTACCTGGAGGACAACTGAGCTCTACATCACAGAAAAAATAATTGTGGTGCTTGGATCACTGGGCATTTTCTTTAGAAGGGTTTTTTAGAACCAAATATGCAATCTTCTCTATAATTTTATTGAATTCCTGTATGAACGTCAGTCTGTATTCCCTGTAATTTCACACTATGTTTGTGACATTTGAAAGGATATTTTCAGCTCCTAGTCGCTCTAATTTGTCTTAATAGCTATACAAATTTAGAAGCAAATGTGAGGCAATGTTCCCACTAATTTAACATAATGACCCGTGCGCAAAGAAACTCCATTGATCTGTTTCAACCAGTGTCATGCCTCGTGTTGTGTCATGTTGTGTCATGCCTCATGTTGTGAAAAGCCTTATGTTGTATCATGGCTTTGTTGTGTCATGGTGTGTCATGCCTCGTGTTGTGGCATGTCTCATGTTTTGTCATGTCTCATGTTGTGTCATGTCTCATGTTGTGTCATGTCTCATGTTTGTCATGTCTCATCATGTGTCTTGGGTCATGTTGTGTAATGGCTCATGTTGTGTCATGGCTCATGTTGTGTCATGGCTCATGATGTGTCATGTCTCATGTTTTGTCATCCCTCATCATGTGTCTTGGGTATTGTTGTGTCATGCCTCATGGTGTGTCATGCCTCATGTTGTGTTATGGCCCATGTTGTGTCATGGCTCATGTTGTGTCATCGCTCATCATGTGTCATGCCTCATGGTGTGTCATGCCTCATGTTGTGTCATGCCTCATTTTGTGTCATGGCTCATGTTTTGTCATGCCTTATGTTGTGTCATGGCTCATGTTGTGTCATAACTCATGTTTTGTCATGCCTCATGTTGTGGCATGTCTCATGTTGTGTCATGTCTCATGGTGTGTCATGTCTCATGTTTGTGTCATGCCTCATGGTATGTCATGTCTCATGTTGTGTCATGCCTCATGGTGTGTCATGATGTGTCATGCCTCATGTTGTGTCATGTGTGGATTTCTGTTTCATTTTATAACAAATGTTTTGGACATTGCTACTTACATCTCATGGAAATAAAAATTCCTTACTAGCTCTTTAAAACAGAACATAGGTTTTGGGCTAATTTTATCCCTTTTGCATTGGTTCAATGCAGTGCTCCTCAAATTGGAGGCCCCTAGGTAAGTTTGATTGCCTGAAATGGTAAATATCTCAATGAAATATTATTATTATAGCTCAGTGTTAAGGCTGCTGAACATTTAGATTGTTTTCTACTGAAGAAAAGTATTTGTTATTTTTATATGTTGTTTAACACTGTTTTTCAAATTATTTTGCTTCTCTTACTAAAGACATCAGGGATATCAGACACTGAAGTTTGCTGCAAATCAAGCAATAAATTGTTGTGTACTTGTCAGTTATAGATAAAGTTTTTAAGCATTTTTTTTTTACATTGCTTAACTATTTTGATATTTTTTAAGAACTTTTTTATAGAATAGTCTAAATTTACCTACCAGTTCATATGAACCAACTTATTTTACCAAACATTTTTGTTGAAATAATTAATGGTAAATGTATTTGCAGTTGCGAGGAGATGAAGTCAATCTTCTTAAAACTAAATCATTCATCTCTACTTTTGTATCCCAGTTTATTTATAGCACAAATTGTGGTGTTGGCTTGGAAAAGTTGGCGAACCACTGTATTTGTGCCTTAGAGTTAACATAAAGACATTTTAAATTGTTTACACTGGTAATTTAATTTCTCAATAAGGTTGTTGAAAAAATCTGTTAAGAACGATATAATGTTGTGCCGGCAGGAACCGGGAAAACTCTGGTGGCCGTCATGACCATGGCAGTGATGTTGGAGGAGAACCCCTCGCGGCCAGTTCTTTTTCTTGTGGATAAAGTGCTCCTTGTGCTTCAGCAAACAAATTACATTAAGAGGCAACTTGAAGGAAAGACGTTCACAAGGTAATGTATCTGGCAATGTGAGGCAAGGGGCTGGGATTTGGTAGAGATTTTCACAGGGTAATGTGTCTGGCAATGTGAGGCAAGGGGCTGGGATTTGGTAGAGATTTTCACAGGGTAATGTGTCTGGCAATGTGAGGCAAGGGGCTGGGATTTGGTAGAGATTTTCACAGGGTAATGTGTCTGGCAATGTGAGGCAAGGGGCTGGGATTTGGTAGAGATTTTCACAGGGTAATGTGTCTGGCAATGTGAGGCAAGGGGCTGGGATTTGGTAGAGATTTTCACAGGGTAATGTGTCTGGCAATGTGAGGCAAGGGGCTGGGATTTGGTAGAGATTTTCACAGGGTAATGTGTCTGGCAATGTGAGGCAAGGGGCTGGGATTTGGTAGAGATTTTCACAGGGTAATGTGTCTGGCAATGTGAGGCAAGGGGCTGGGATTTGGTAGAGATTTTCACAAGGTAATGTGTCTGGCAATGTGAGGCAGGGGGCTAGGATTTCGTAGAGATTTTCACAGGGTACTGTGTGTTGCAATGTGAGGCAGGGGGCTGGGATTTGGTAGAGATGTTCACAAGGTTTTGTCTCTGGCAATGTGAGGCAGGGGGCTGGGATTTGGTAGAGATGTTCACAAGGTACTGTGTCTGGCAATGTGAGGCAAGGGGCTGGGATTTGGTAGTGATGTTCACAAGGTAATGTATCTGGCAATGTGAGGCAGGGGGCTAGGATTTGGTAGAGATGTTCACAGGGTAATGTATCTGGCAATGTGAGGCAGTGGGCTAGGATTTGGTAGAGATGTTCACAAGGTAATGTATCTGGCAATGTGAGGCAGGGGGCTGGAATTTGGTAGAGATGTTCACAAGGTACTGTGTGTTGCAATGTGAGGCAGGGGGCTGGGATTTGTAAGTGATGTTCACAAGGTAATGTATCTGGCAATATGAGGCAGGGGGCTAGGATTTGGTAGTGATGTTCACAAGGTAATGTATCTGGCAATGTGAGGCAGGGGGCTGGGATTTGGTAGAGATGTTCACAAGGTTTTATCTCTGGCAATGTGAGGCAGGGAGCTGGGATTTGGTAGTGATGTTCACAAGGTTTTATATCTGGCAATGTGAGGCAGGGAGCTGGGATTTGGTAGAGATGTTCAAAGGGTACTGTGTCTGGCAATGTGAGGCAGGGGGCTGGGATTTGGTAGAGATGTTCACAGGGTACTGTGTCTGGCTATGTGAGGCAGGGGGCTGGGATTTGGTAGAGATGTTCACAGGGTACTGTGTCTGGCAATGTGAGGCAGGGGGCTGGGATTTGGTAGAGATGTTCACAGGGTACTGTGTCTGGCAATGTGAGGCAAAGGGCTGGGATTTTGTAGAGATGTTCACAGGGTACTGTGTCTGGCAATGTGAGGCAGGGGGCTGGGATTTGGTAGAGATGTTCACAGGGTACTGTGTCTGGCAATGTGAGGCAGGGGGCTGGGATTTGGTAGAGATGTTCACAGGGTACTGTGTCTGGCAATGTGAGGCAGGGGGCTGGGATTTGGTAGAGATGTTCACCGGGTACTGTGTCTGGCAATGTGAGGCAGGGGGCAGGTATTTGGTAGAGATGTTCACAGGGTACTGTGTCTGGCAATGTGAGGCAGGGGGCTGGGATTTGGTAGAGATGTTCACAGGGTACTGTGTCTAGCTATGTGAGGCAAGGGGCTGGGATTTGGTATAAAGTTCTGGGAATCTCTTTTGATCATGCCATTTAAACGATGTAGGTCTATAATGTTGTTGTCATCTATGATGGTCTTGGCCATCTATGATAGTCTTGGCCATCTCTGATGGTATTGACCATCTATGATTGTGTTGGCCATCTCCTGAGGGTGTTGGCCATCAAATGAGGGTGTTGACCATCTATGATGGTGTTGGCCATCTAAGAAGGTTTTGCCCATCGATGGTGGTGTTAGCCATTTAATGAGGGTGTTGGTCATCAAATAGGGGTGTTGGCCATCTAATGAGGCTGTTAGCCATCTAATGAGGGTGTGGGCCATCTAATGAGGGTGTTGGCCATCTATTGATGGTGTTAGCCATCTAATGAGGGTGTTAGCCATCTAATGAGGGTATTAGCCTTCTAATGAGGGTGTTTTCCATTTAATGAGGGTGTTTGTTTGCCATCCTTGATGGTGTTGGCCATTTAATGAGGGTGTTGGCCATCTATGATGGTGTTGGCCATTTAATTAGGATGTTGGCCAGTGAAGGTACAAATCACTTTAGTATGCCAATAGATTGTATGCAATGAGGTGCTAACAATAAAAAAATATTTTGGAATAAAATCGGTTCCTTGTTTTTCCTGAAATGTCACTTTTTAAGCTCATGTTTAAAATTGATTGAACCAGCACAGGGCATTTTCATAACCTCTTGTCTTGCTTGTAAAGACTGGCTTTTGCATATCACCCACCATCTAAATCTCTCGATCTGTATTCCTATCAGAACTGACTTAAAGGACGGGAAAGCAATCATAAAGCGGGAAGTCGTCATAAAGGCCATTTGCGGTGGTCTCACTTCTAAAAGTGAACTGCCGATATGGAAGTTTGACATTGTGATCACAACAGCGGGTGAGTTAAAACTGTTAAGAATAGCTGAAATGTCAGCTAGATTTTCCCACCCCCACCAGCACCAACTCACACCCCCCCCCACACGCACCCACTCACACTCCCCACAAAGAGTTCTTATATATGGGTTTACTTACATTCTTTTCCCCCTCTATTATTTGCCTATTTCTTGCCACTAATATTTTGGTTTTGGTTTTTCACAAATTTTAAATAGCTGTGGAAACTGGCCCGGGCGTAACAGTTACTCAGACAAACATTACAATACCAGACAAGCATTACTATATCAGAAAAACATTACTGTATCAGACAAACATTACAATATCATCAGGCAAACATTACTATATCAGACAAACATTACAATATCATCAGGAAAATATTACAATATCAGACAAACATTACTGTATCAGACAAAAATTACAACAGCAGAAACATCAAAATATCAGACAAACATTACAAAATCAGAATCAGGCAAACATTACAATATCAAAATAAACATTACAATATCAGACTACAATATCAGACCAGCATTATATTACCAGACAAACAATATGACATCGTTTATAAAAAATTAATTTCATTAAGAAGAATCACTGAGTTCAATTGTCAATTTTATCACAAACAATTATCCAAACAATTATCCAAACAATTATCCAAACATTTATCCAAACATTTATCCAAATATTTATCCAAACAATTATCCAAACAATTATCCAAACAATTATCCAAACAATTATCCAAACAATTATCCAAACAATTATCCAAACATTTATCCAAACAATGATCCAAACAATTATCCAAACATTTATCCAAACAATTATCCAAACAATTATCCAAACAATTATCCAAATATTTATCCAAACATTCATCCGACACTTGCAGAAGAATTAAGACATTTCTGGTCTCTAATAATATAAATTCTGTGTTAAGCATTCTGTCACAACATGCTGCAGAGAGGCCTCATCCGATGGGAAGATTTCTCACTGATAGTGCTGGACGAGGTCCATCACTGCAACAAGCAACATCCCTATCACAAGCTGCTCAGCGGCTATCACAACTGTCTGCAGCCGCCCAGTAATCGGGCCAAGATGTTGGGTCTCACGGCATCCCCGGCCGGTAAAACCTCTGAAGTGGAAACATACAACATGCTACGAGGATTGTTGGCGAATCTAGGTCAGTGGGACAATGAGGCGTATATTGCATACATCCTTCAACTGTTATTTCTTTTCTTTGTTGTTTAACCTAGAATAATGAATTAGCAATCTCTCTACTATATCTTAAAGAAAATTATACAATTGGAAACCATTTTTGTACATTTCAAACTTGTGCCTATGATCTTGTCTTGGTTTTAAAAAATGGAAAAATTATTGAATGAAAAGAAAAGTCTCCCACGTATTGTAGAACTTGGTGGGCTTCTTACATCCTATACGGTGATAATTATGGGGACCATTGATGAAACTAATCACTCCAAACATCAACTTCATCATTTGTAGATGTTTGTAAGTTGTCTGTGGACATTGGATTTACGCTGCTCAGTTTGCAAGCCCTAAGAAATGTGTACCAACAGTATTATAAAGTTAAGGTTAAAAAAATAATTAAAAAATTGAAGTTTAGGAGAATAAATGAATTGTTTCCACCAGGTGGTGCTGGCGTAGCTATTGTGGAAAGTGAAGAGGATGAGTTAAAGACATACGAGTCCAGTGCAGAAGTGCACGCCATCTGTGTCCCCATGTCCAACAGAGAGAGAGAGTTTCATTTGCACCTCCTGGAATACACGGTGATGTGCTATTCAAAATTTGCCCCGTTATCATCCCTGCGAGATGTCAGGACTGCTCCTTGTTCTTTTCTTCTCCAAGCCATGCAAGACCCTTTGAACAGACAGGTGAGATGTTTGATAACTTCATTTTTGTTTACATCATTTAGATAAACACATTCAGTTGCTCAGTTATCTGGTAAGTAGGGAATAACACAGAGCTTATTCTGGCTACGCATTATGATTCATCAAAGTTTGTCAGTTAGTTGAGTTACTTATTCCAAAGTATCTGAAGCAAAAGTTAAATGCTGATTTGCTAACCTTCGTCTAGCATTTTCATCAAATTAAGGTTTATATTAGGAACAAGAAATGAGAAAGCTTGAAATATAATTGAAAACAATACAACAGACAAATGGTCAGCAATGCTTCTCAGGTGAACAAGAAATAAAAAGAGGAAAATAGAGTTTAAAATGAAGTTGCCCTCAAACCGGAAGGCAATTCAGGAAGTAAACTTTGCACTACTTTAATGCAATAACTGCAGTATTAAACTAAATTTAACCCAGCATACCTGATGAGTTTTTAAACCAAGTTTGTTGGTCATCAGTCAGACAAGGTGTGGGTAGGCTGTTTGATGCCCACTCTGAGCCATTTTCTAAGAATTTCAGTTATTTTACATTTTCTAATTCCTGCTTACAAAAGATTATTGTGTTTGTGATTTGATGTCAGATCAAGGTCATGGCAGGTCAAGGTCAAATTAACAGCATTAAAAAAAAAACATTTGCCTTGTAACTTTTCACATTAATATTTCAACTTTTTAAAAAAAAACTTTTTCTGTTAACATTTTTCATCTTTTTTCATTTAAACACTAAATAATGGTGATAATTAAAGAAAGAACACTTTATTTTGAAAGTTGGATATTGTTTCAGATAAAGTTATTTTAAAAATATAACTAAAATAAGAAGGGTTTGCTCTTCTTCACCAGATTTTTAGTTCATAGTTTTCTTGTGACTGTTGGACTTGTGCCATGTACACAGACTGTTGGACTTGTGCCCTGTACACAGACTGTTGGACTTGTGCCCCGTACACAGACTGTTGGACTTGTGCCCTGTACACAGACTGTTGGACTTGTGCCCTGTACACAGACTGTTGGACTTGTGCCCTGTACACAGACTGTTGGACTTGTGCCCTGTACACAGACTGTTGGACTTGTGCCCCGTACACAGACTGTTGGACTTGTGCACTGTACACAGACTGTTGGACTTGTGCCCTGTACACAGACTGTTGGACTTGTGCCCTGTACACAGACTGTTGGACTTGTGCCCCGTACACATACTGTTGGACTTGTGCCCCGTACACAGACTGTTGGACTTGTGCACTGTACACAGACCGTGGGACTTGTGCACTGTACACAGACCGTGGGACTTGTGCCCCGTACACAGACTGTTGGACTTGTGCCCCGTACACAGACTGTTGGACTTTTGCCCCGTACACAGACTGTTGGACTTGTGCACTGTACACAGACCGTGGGACTTGTGCACTGTACACAGACCGTGGGACTTGTGCCCCGTACACAGACTGTTGGACTTGTGCACTGTACACAGACTGTTGGACTTGTGCACTGTACACAGACTGTTGGACTTGTGCACTGTACACAGACCGTGGGACTTGTGCCCCGTACACAGACTGTTGGACTTGTGCACTGTACACAGACTGTTGGACTTGTGCACTGTACACAGACTGTTGGACTTGTGCCCTGTACACAGACTGTTGGACTTGTGCCCTGTACACAGACTGTTGGACTTGTGCACTGTACACAGACTGTTGGACTTGTGCACTGTACACAGACTGTTGGACTTGTGCACTGTACACAGACTGTTGGACTTGTGCCCTGTACACAGACTGTAGGACTTGTGCCCCGTACACAGACTGTTGGACTTGTGCACTGTACACAGACTGTGGGACTTGTGCCCCGTACACAGACCGTGGGACTTGTGCCCCGTACACAGACTGTTGGACTTGTGCCCTGTACACAGACTGTTGGACTTGTGCCCTGTACACAGACTGTTGGACTTGTGCCCTGTACACAGACTGTTGGACTTGTGCCCCGTACACAGACTGTTGGACTTGTGCCCTGTACACAGACTGTTGGACTTGTGCCCTGTACACAGACTGTTGGACTTGTGCCCTGTACACAGACTGTTGGACTTGTGCCCTGTACACAGACTGTTGGACTTGTGCCCCGTACACAGACTGTTGGACTTGTGCCCTGTACACAGACTGTTGGACTTGTGCCCTGTACACAGACTGTTGGACTTGTGCCCTGTACACAGACTGTTGGACTTGTGCCCCGTACACAGACTGTTGGACTTGTGCCCTGTACACAGACTGTTGGACTTGTGCCCCGTACACAGACTGTTGGACTTGTGCACCGTACACAGACTGTTGGACTTGTGCACTGTACACAGACTGTTGGACTTGTGCCCCGTACACAGACCGTTGGACTTTTGCCCCGTACACAGACTGTTGGACTTTTGCCCCGTACACAGACTGTTGGACTTGTGCCCCGTACACAGACTGTTGGACTTGTGCCCCGTACACAGACTGTTGGACTTGTGCCCCGTACACAGACTGTTGGACTTGTGCCCCGTACACAGACTGTTGGACTTGTGCCCCGTACACAGACTGTTGGACTTGTGCACTGTACACAGACTGTTGGACTTGTGCACTGTACACAGACCGTTGAACTTTTGCACTGTACACAGACCGTTGGACTTGTGCACTGTACACAGACTGTTGACTTGTGTACTGTACACCGACTGTTGGACTTGTGCACTGTACACCGACTGTTGGACTTGTGCGCTGTACCAACACTGTTGGACTTGTGCGCTGTACACAGACTGTTGGACTTGTGCGCTGTACACAGACTGTTGGACTTGTGCGCTGTACCAACACTGTTGGACTTGTGCGCTGTACCAACACTGTTGGACTTGTGCGCTGTACCAACACTGTTGGACTTGTGCGCTGTACACAGACTGTTGGACTTGTGCGCTGTACCAACACTGTTGGACTTGTGCGCTGTACCAACACTGTTTGACTTGTGCGCTGTACCAACACTGTTGGACTTGTGCCCTGTACACACATAATGTTTCACTGCCCATAGATAAAAATAATGTCATGTTTTCTTCAATGTATTATTTCATAAATTGTTGCTCTTATGCATTGGCTTGATCCCCAACCACCACCTGTGATTTGTAGGTGACCAGACAAATTGCTGAGAACTTTCTGAAAGATGAAGAACCCTTGTCTGAGCTGCTGATTCAGATCAACATGGCCACCTGCCTGTCCAAAGACAATCAGGATGTCAAATTCAAATTCGATCATCTAAAATTGCACCTGCAAACATTATTATTGACCATCCCTGAGGTGGGGACGGGCGCAAACTTCATCGAAGAACTTTGTAAAGTCTTGGCTCCAAGTGACACAGTCCAGGTAAGCAAAACTAGTAAAATACTAGACTATCTCCCATTAATCTACAAACTCTTTAATCTTCTTCTTCTTTTTTTTCCTTTTCAACTCCCACTGGAGCATTGGCTGTTAACAAGTTCTTTCCAAGCCTTCCGGTCTCTTGCTATCTTCTCTAAATCTTTTGAACTCATTTCTATCTTTAGGAATTAATTTTACACAAAGAGTTTGCTTCAATAGAAATAGCTGTCAACTACTAGATTGTTCATCACTATGGTATGTATGCCGTAAGGGGTCTAACTCAGCGTTTCCCAAACTTGTGAGTTTCACGGACCGGTGGACTAGTTTAGAAACTGCACCAGATTTATTAATTACATTTTCTTTCTATTTAAACATCAATATTCATGCTCTCTGGACCGGTAACGTAAGGCTCGTGGACCAGAACCGGTCCACAGACCAACCACTTTGAGTAGCACTTGTCTAACTGACATTAAATGGTCCACTTGCTACCAGGGAATAGATGGACCATCAAAATGGTATACTTACTGCTGGTGATGAATAACAAGGATTGAAAGAACTAGCCACCACAGATACAGCCACTATTGTTAAATCTATTTGGTCCCGTATAAGATATTTCGTCATCTTTGAAGAGTTTGATCCTTTATATACCTTAACCAACTGTGCCAGTGACGACCATTTATCGTTTTATTTAATGATTTTAACTTAAAATAATCTTTGTGTGTGTGTTGTTTTTTTTCAGATGTGAACGTGTTTTATTTTGGTTTAGAAAATTTTGACTTAAATATGCTTCTTTTTTTTCTTATTTTTCTTAACAATTTTTAAAAACACAGGTGTTTGAGTCCATGGGACTGCCGTGTAAACAGATGTTAGGCATCGTCAAATTGTTTGAAGACAATGGGGAAAAGGACAACACCATGTTTGCCAAGCTGATTGAGGTTAGTGCTAGTGGGTGGGTGAGGTCAAGCTGTTTGGGGTTAGTGCAAGTGGGTGGGTGAGGTCAAGCGGTTGGGGTTGCTAGTGTGTGGGTGAGGTCAAGCTGATTGGGGTTAGTGCTAATGGGTGGGTGAGGTCAAGCGGTTGGAGTTATTGCTAGTTTGTGGGTGAGGTCAAGCTGATTGGGGTTAGTGATAATGGGTGGGTGAGGTCAAGCTGATTGAGGTTAGGGCTAGTGGGTGGGTGAGGTCGAGCTGATTGGGGTTAGTGCTAGTGGGTGGGTGAGGTCAAGCTGATTGAGGTTAGTAGAGCTGGTCGATGGCAGACACATGATTCAGTTACAGAATCCTTGTTAATTAACGAAAAGTTAGTTTTCTAGTGGAAGTTACTGTTTGCATGTCGTGTCATGACATACCCTCTAAGCTATAACATTCCATCTTGTCAAACAAAAGTGATATAATTTTACGAAGTAGAAGAACTAAGATAGTTATTGTTAAACACTAGTGATATGATTGTATGAAGTAGAAGAACTAAGATAGTTATTGTTAAACACTAGTGATGTAATTGTATGAAGTAGAAGAACTAAGATAGTTATTGTTAAACACTAGTGATGTAATTGTATGAAGTAGAAGAACTAAGATAGTTATTGTTAAACACTAGTGATGTAATTGTATGAAGTAGAAGAACTAAGATAGTTATTGTTAAACACTAGTGATGTAATTGTATGAAGTAGAAGAACTAAGATAGTTATTGTTAAACACTAGTGATGTAATTGTATGAAGTAGAAGAACTAAGATAGTTATTGTTAAACACTAGTGATGTAATTGTATGAAGTAGAAGAACTAAGATAATTATTGTTAAACACTAGTGATGTAATTGTATGAAGTAGAAGAACTAAGATAGTGCCACATTAAACTTGGTGAATAAATTGATTGGCATAGAGGGTTCACTTATTCCACACCTATCAAACATGATTTTTATAGGTGGGGAAGAGGGAATGGTATTGGTGGGAGCAGGGGGGGGGGTATGTGTGTTGCAGGCAGCAATAATGATATTTCTCCATTCAAGTTCATATAATCCTTTTGCTTCTTCATATATCAATTAGAAAAAAATCTTTAATTACCACCAAAAGTAAATATAAAGCACTAATTATTTAAATGTGCATGCCTGCTAACTGCATGATAATCCTTATATCTATTAAATGTATAGGCTAAATATGTTATGTATTAAATATATAGACTAAATATGTTATTTATTAAATATATAGGCTACATGGATAGTTTGCTACATGATTTTGTTCAAACACCTTCAGATTTTACAAGATAAACGCAAGATTAATATCCAAGATCAGGCTTCAAAGGCCCTTGTCCTCGTGAGAGAGCGAAAGATTGCACGGCAGATAAGTCACAAACTTCGCGAAGAGCCCTTGATTAAAGCAAACAATTTACGAGTGACACATCTTGTGGGCCACGGAAATGCACAGGATCACGGCATGGATGTCAAGAAACAGAAAAGAGTTCTAGACAATCAAGAAAGGTACAGTTTTATTGCATGTTTTTTTTTAAAATAAATATTTTGGTAAGTGTAAAAAATGACTTGATGTTTTCTTGCTGCATTCATAAATGAATTATGAACTTTTCATCACATTAGAGCTGTTGATAAAAGCACTCAATAAAAGAGTACTCAATTCATTGCAATACACATTTTATTATAATGATGCTAGTTATAGCCCACCAATCAATGGTGGGGGCTATGCGTATACTTCACATCTCCTAAAATTACTTGAAAAAAGATGCATTCAAGGGCTCTCTCCCCCCACCCCCCACCCCACCCCAACCCCCAGGTACAACACAGCATTTTTTTTTCACACCCCTGAACTTTATTAATTTTGTAATGTCTCAACCCCTTTCACACCGTAAATTTATTATTTCATATTTAATTTGAGACTATTTTTGTGAAAAAAAAAAAAAAAAGTCAATATGACCCACCAGCTGGGATATTTCTAAGAATTTCATTGAGCCTAGTTATGTGGAATTTAATTTTNATGTCTCAACCCCTTTCACACCGTAAATTTATTATTTCAAATTTAATTTGAAACTATTTTTGTGAAAAAAAAAAAAAAAGTCAATATGACCCACCAGCTGGGATATTTCTAAGAATTTCATTGAGCCTAGTTATGTGGAATTTAATTTTGCAGGCTATTGAACTCACCAATACTCCATACTTTCTTTCACACATAGAGAATTAAATTGATTGATGAGTTGCAAAAGATAACCTTCAAAATAAAATGTTTGCATCTTTTCCCAAAATATACAAGTAAAGGATACTTCCCAACAAAATGTTCAATCATTCAGATGTGGGTTTTAACTTTCAAGACTTTTTAACATCACTCCGCATTCCATCTATTTATTCGTCGCATGTTTTTAAAAATGTGAAACTCATCCATTGTGGATGCTTTGCAAAAATTTGTTGAAAGAACTTCTTTTATTTACCAATATTTTTGGAAACCATTCAGCAAGGAAATAAATTCATTAGAATGTGTTCACAGATAAGGGGAGAAAATAAATTCATTAGAATGTGTTCACAGATAAGGGGAGAAAATAAATTCATTAGAATGTGTTCACAGATAAGGGGAGAAAATAAATTCATTAGAATGTGTTCACAGATAAGGGGAGAAAATAAAGTCATTAGAATGTGTTCACAGATAAGGGGAGAAAATAAAGTCATTAGAATGTGTTCACAGATAAGGGGAGAAAATAAAGTCATTAGAATGTGTTCACAGATAAGGGGAGAAAATAAAGTCATTAGAATGTGTTCACAGATAAGGGGAGATAATAAATTTATTAGAATTTGTTCACAGATAAGGGGAGATAATAAATTCATTAGAATTTGTTCACGGATAAGGGGAGATAATAAATTCTTTAGAATATGTTCACAGATAAGGGGAGAAAATAAAGTCATTAGAATGTGTTCACAGATAAGGGGAGAAAATAAAGTCATTAGAATGTGTTCACAGATAAGGGGAGAAAATAAAGTCATTAGAATGTGTTCACAGATAAGGGGAGATAATAAATTTATTAGAATTTGTTCACAGATAAGGGGAGATAATAAATTCATTAGAATTTGTTCACGGATAAGGGGAGATAATAAATTCTTTAGAATATGTTCATAGATAAGGGGAGATAATAAATTCATTAGAATGTGTTCACGGATAAGGAGAGATATAAGCATGATATTTTTAGTCCAATATTATTTCATGTTTTTCTCTGTGTGCATTTTGGACCTATAGGTACAACATTTTTGTAGCCACGTCCATCATGGAAGAAGGCGTTGACTTCCAGTCCTTGCAGCTCGTCGTGTCCATGAACCCGCCTACAAGCTTGCGAGCCCTGGTTCAGATCAGGGGACGCGCCCGCAGAAAGAACAGTCACTTTGTGATCTTATGCAGCAGTGAAGAGGAAGTCGAGAAATTTGAGACCCTGCAACTTCAAGAGAAAAACATGCAAGCCGCTGCCAAACGGTGCGTAGAGGAAGACAGAAAGGCTGGACAGCAGAAATAGGCCAGGTTCAAGGCCTCTCTTACACTCTTAATAACACTAAGACCTCACCATGGCAGTTTTATGGTTGGTGCGGTACAAGAGGTAAAAATGTGATAATCCATTTATGACTGGATTTTAAAATGTTCACTACTGTTCCATAAATGGATAAACCTAGATTGGGCCATTTAATTCCAGATGGATAAAATAATAAGAACAAAGAGGAGTAAAATATTTAATATCCTATACTTTGTGACTGTAGCTGACAGTTATTTCTTCCATTGTCAAATAGTCTTAACTTATTTTGACGTATGTGGGAATTGGACATCCCATCAATGTCTAAATGTTGCTGTGATTGGGGGGGGGGGATACATTGTTGTTTTATAGGGTTGTGGTGATAAGGGGGAAATATATGAAGATCATTTTAAGAATGTAAGAGTGAAAGGGAAAAGAGAGAGAGAGAGAAAGATAGGATAAAGGTGTAAGGTAAATTGTTGGTTTGTTGTATTATAGTTATAATTTAAGGTTGGACAATTAATCTGCACTAAAATTTCAGCTTATATTTGCTGCTCTGAGTATCTTGTTACAAAAGCCAATGTGGCATCGTATATCTCAGATATATGTGTGTTATTTTATAGAAAACATATTTTTTTTAAGGATTTATGAAATGATGCTGAAAACATTTGACAACATTTTTTGGTTGTGATTATTTCTTTCAAATATCCTGTTAAGATGAAGGTGCTTTCTACACTTTTTGTGTACTTTGTGAGTTACTCTTGTAAATAATAGCACAAGAAACATAAGCTTTATGTACGTTTTACAGTAACAATGACATGCCAATAATCAGAAAGAGTGTTTTAATACTAATCTTTTGGTAGTCATTTTGTAATTGTAAGTTATTTCTTTGTTTTGTTCGTTAACTGCATAACTGGCAATTGTACTTGTGCATGGATGAATTCTTATAAGATGGACAGACCAAATTATGAGTGAAAATACTAAGTCTTTTCAAACTCTCTCTCTCTCTCTCTCTCTCTCTCTCTCTCTCTCTCTCTCTCTCTCTCTCTCTCTCTTTCTCTCTCTCTCTCTCTCTCCCCCCCTCTCTCTCTCTCTCTCTCTCTCTCTCTCTCTATATATATATATATATATATATATATATATATATATATATATATATATATATATATAAAGTGATCCCTCGTCTATTGTATATGAATATAAACCAATGTAAGTGTTTGTGTACCGTATTTTATATGTATATATATATTATTCCTCTTCCACCAATCTGTATTATTTCCTTTCATGTGCACTTGAGATATGAGGTTCTGTTCATTTTTTGTGATAGTTGTATATAATTATATTTGTTTCCATCGCATATTATGTGAGTGTTTCCATTCATATGTTGCGCCTGCTGACTCTCTGCCCAATCACTCATTACTTGCTTAAACACACATTGTTTTGTGTCGGCTCTTAATCTTTTTACTCATTATCTGTGTCTGTCTCAGTGGGTCATGCACTCGATTAGTCTGCTCATGCCCTGCATCAGTCTGTCTTATGTCATAAAGAATACTGTGTGATATAATGTTACATGTTTCTCGCCATATTTGCTCTATCTTAGTCAATGGGAATTCTTTGAATTAAATGCATATCCACCTTGTTATCTCTACAATGATCACATTTCTGGAAGCTTACCTTTCGGGTGCCTTTACCAGCTAACATTTTGCGTAGAGTCTAAGCCTGCCTTCACATCAAATGTTCCCTTAAACATTGCAAGCTCCAGACACTTAAGTTGTTTGTTTTTTTAAACTCATTTCTATTTCTTTGTTGTTGTTTTTTTCTTTTTTTTTTTTTTTTGTCTAGTCTGTTGAAGAAGACTTTTGGCCTTACTTTTTTCCTTTTATTTTCCGGTCTTTTTTTACACACCTTTTTCCTCTATTTCCTT